GTAATGCATTCAACTGCCGGTATTTGTTTCACAAAGTTCATCAGCGCATTGTGCTTGTATACCAGTACCTACTGGGACTAATTTTGCATCAGACGGCCTACACTAACATACAGATGCATGTATTTACGTACAAATGTTGAAAATTATCACACAGGGTGCGCACAAATGGTGCAAAATCAAACTCAAATCGCGGACTTTGGATTCTCCAATCTTCATGAAAAGGAAACATTTTCATACTTGGGAAACCACTAACAGAGGGGCACTTTGACCTCCATATTCTTTCCTAATTACCAATAACATTGACCGACAATGAATGGCACGAAATGGTCCTCCATTTCTGCCAGTGCTAGGCCACAGTGCATGTACATGTAGTTGGTTTACACTCCCTGGGGTACACGTACATATAAAGTACACATACAGTGCATGTACATGTACCGGTACATGCACATGTATGAGAAAACATACTGGAAGACAAATATGTGACCCGTCACGACAAAATGAGCGTAAAGTCACATCCTGCTGTTTCCTATTTTCAGGATTCAAAGTCATATTGAGGTGGAGGTCAATTTTTTGGTTTTGTAATATTTGTGAAGAGTAACCTGGCTCTTGTTTTAATTCCAAATACATGTATTTCACAGGATCAAATATTTAAAAATTTCATTTGTTTAGCAATTTTGATGACAGTATCATTCGTGCCTGGTCAGACATGTTGAAACAATATCGGAAACAAAGACGCAAAGCTGCCAGAATGTCACACTGTCACCTTATACTTTTACCATAATATTTTCATGTCCATACCATTAGAAAGCTCTCTTTCTACTTAATTCAAATAAACCATTATCTGAATTTTTTTAAAAATTCGACTTTCAGCTCATTTTGTGGTGACAGGTCACGTTAGGATGAATCATGGAGGAATAAAAAAGACTGGCACATGTAGGTGAATGGTCCACTTACACGTACATGACTTATTCTGATACATACATGTGCATTCAACACTAATGGACAGCATATTGTTCCCACAGATGATGAATTACAGTGCATCCATGCATGTACAGCATGCGTTCAACGTCCACAACAGACATGATGATATTTAAATGCCAAAATTTTACCAAAAAATGACATACGTGTACTGTACCACTGTACACATGTACATGTGCTAGACCCTGGTTATCATGGTTATTCATGTTTTTAAAAGTACTTGTACTCACCAATTCAAACGTTCTAACTCTCTGTCAAAGGTGCCATACTCAAACTGCCACCATTTTGACCAGCATATTATAAATCCACAGAACGTCAATGCATAACTGAGCACAATAAAGACATGCCTGCACAATGACAGGCAGTAGGAGTACTCCTACTATCCCATAACAATCAGGCCACAGAAATGCCTTACAAATGCATCATGCCAGCAACAGGCAGTTCTATTCATAGTAATTTGGCCTTCACTCAATGCCCACACTGTACAACTGTACATGTACATGTACACATACAGTACTTCTCAGCACAGTGAAGAAAAAATCAGTGCTTGGTGGTTGTGCAGTGGATTGACACACACAAGGTGGATCACCGGCCCCCACACTTCACAAAGTGGGCATCCCTAATCAATGAATGCGATGGGCGCCAGCCATCCAACTGCCTGATCCCCCCAAATGTACACCAAACATTCCTGGCATTCTTGACCTCTTGGGTGATACCACTGTACAAAGAGGTTGTACAAAAAGGTTGCTCACAATGGTTGTTGTGATGGGTAAACATTGAGGGGCATTGAACCATGATTGGGGGGGGGGCTGCTTCCAAGTGCTAAGGTGGAGTGGGTTTTGGAAGACTGCGGAGGAAAAATATCTTCTCACAACCACAGTAGTACAAACTAAGGAGTGGAACAGAGAAAAAACTTGTGAGCCACTGTGACAGGCTGGGCTGACAAATAATAACCACGGCAAGACCTAGCACTTCCACTTTCATAACAGGGCAGAAAGCTGACCAAAAAATGACCCCCAGGGGTTCTGAGGTCCAACCATCACAAGCCTGTACCTGTACATGTAACTTTCACTTTACAGTTGCACTATATTACAGTGTACTTGTGTGAGCTTGAATCTTGGACAGAATTCCTAGAACTTTTTACCTAATAAATTGTAAATCAATAGAAAAACATCTGCCAAATCTTGTGCTTCAAGGCACAATTGATAGTGTAGCTTTGAATACTTGTACAGTATACCTCAAGGTATTATAACAAGTGTTTGACATATCAAGGAAAAGCTCGACTGACATTACTAAGTGCAGAGGGTATAAAGCTATCACAAAGTTGTCAGATAAATTACATGACTAATAATACATACCTGAACAAGCAGTGAGCAGGCTATTAAAGCCATGGGTCTCTGTTAGTCAACTTTTTCAACAGAAATTTGAGGGAAAAGGGGAGGTCAAAGTGGGAACATTTTGTTCACAGAGGCATGAACATTTATACGGACAGACCTTCATTCTGTTTTAGACAAGCGGATAAGGCATGCAATATTAACAGATTGATTGCAAAAAAAGTTCTTCTCTGCTTAGCGGATCAATGCACACCTGCCTGCACAAGTCCTTATCCCTGTAACAGAATTTCAACTTTTACTGATAAGCTGCCTTCGGGCATGATAAGACTGATGTTGCTACAAAAAAGCCACCATGCAGAATTTTTTTTCCAAAAGTCCTAACGGCTCTGAACACATACTGTAAATGTGAGAGTTACTGGTAGGTTTAGGCAATCATGCACAACATGTGTTTGTAGTACTAACAAACCAACGATCTTGAGTAATTTCAAGTGCCTGACAAGGTCAAGCGGTCATACATCTATTAATTTTGCAAAATGAATCTGAACAGTCGAAAGCAGCAAACATCCAAACACACATTTCTTGCCTTTCTTTCATAAAACCTACTTATAGTTGACTTGAGCCGATTTGCCACTATACATTCAACCATACAGTATTTCTAATTTATTAACAATTGTGCCAAATTTCCTTCACAATGTTTGACTACAAAGTCACTGAAGTGTCTGCACTGGACTGTGGGACACTTCTCTAATGGTGACCCATTCAGCAGGTCACCTTAATACAGAGGTGAGTGCAAGAGGTACCGAGATAGGTACTAGTACATCCAATAAATGGGCTGGATGGATGGTTTGGTTAGTAGAGAGCCTGTACAACAATCTCGTGGTGACAGGTTCAACTCCCTTTCAATTGTCAGTTGAACCAAATCAAAGCATGAATACAGCACACTGTGAGAATCTGTTTTACACCAGTAGTCTAAATCAATGAACATGTGGTTTACGGGTGCACAACCAAATCCTGTGCACCTTCCCCTTCTCATAATTATTTGCAATGCCCGACTTGGATCACCTTTGTTTCTGGGAGTTCATCAATTTTAAAGAGAGACAGACGACGGGAGTCAGGTTGGCTTGGCATAGTGGCTCTTTCCTTACCTTTCACCTTTGCAGCCCTGAGGTTCAAACTGCACCTAGGTCGACATGCGGATTGGGTTTTCAGTCCCTCCCTGATTCTGTGGGTTTCCCCTGAAATATTTATCCAGGGTTTTCCTCCAAATGTTTCAAGCAAACATTCCATCATTTAACTGACTTCTTCATTGTCACTCCTACATGTCAATATCCTGTAATTGGCTCTGAATGTGCTTCTGGACGAACAACAATAAACAGATCAAGATCATAAAGCATATCGCTTGAGTGTTGACCCACCAGCTACTAAAAGACCTTCCCGGGGGCAACTTGGGTGTGCACGGTAGATATAGTGCTAAGTGTCTTGCTCCAGTTTTCATAACTGAACCAACATCAGTGACAAGAAACACCACACTGGAAAACTGAAAGCCAATGATACTTCAAATGAAACCGTTTCCAAACAAGCACGCACATGGAGGGACCTAATCCTTTTAAACTTGGCCAGTTGGTGAAAGGGGGGGGGAGCTTAGGTCGTATCACTCTGCTACAGGGGTGCTGGCCACTAATCCCAGGCTCAATGAACACATTCCTCCCTTGGGTATCTGTAGAAGGAACCTGGCCACTGGCCCAGAAGTGTGGTGCATGTACACGAAGTAGTTACTAGTATGGGTAGATAACATTCAAAGTGAGCCATGTGCAATGCCTTTAAAATCAAATGCTCCAGCGCGTCAATTTACCAAGAAGAGGCCAGTGTACATGCACATGTGTACCTCTACCCCTCAATTATCAAGGACAGCTTTTGCTTTTTCTCTTTCCTTACTTTCCAAGCTGTAATAAATTGATTTTTTGTGAAGCATTTTCAAAGTACATGTACCATGTACATTGTACACATGCCCACACACCTTGACAAGTCAGTCACAGATATGTACCTGGTTGTAAAGTCAAACAGCAGTAAAGTTTTGCGGCAAAGATAAAAATGCTTTGAGTCAAACCAAACCATGGTCAAACATGGTGGTTTCTGATGCATTCCCAGAAATGTAAACACAGAGCTGGGATGATGTAAGTGGTCACATATATAACTTCATATGCATGGAATTTCCCAAAGGTCAATGAAGGGTATTTTGGGGTGGAATGAGTCTTTAAGAAATTCCTATCACAACACTGAATGGTGGTTCGATCATTTGTCAAGGTTGTTTCTTTGCCGATGCTCGGGGTGGTCCCTTCCTGCATCAACAGCCCTGGTCAAACCACAATTGCACAATTCAGCCTCCATTCACGCGTTCTGCAGACTACATCTCTCCCTGCTTTTGCAGCTGCTGGCATCTCATGCAACGAGGTTTCCTTTTCAGTGGCTTCCAATCCTCTGTACTTTCATTATAAAACAAACCAACAACAAAGCCATGCCAAACAGGCCAATCCACATAGCTAGCAGAGAAGTCCAACCATCCTTCCTTTAGGTGATGTCACTCAAATGATTGCTAACAACCTGTACACCAACTAACTCTCTCGAGGCACCTTACATCCATGATACTGTTAACTGAGTGATTGGAACAGTTATTCAAAATATTCTTACCTCCAGAGAGGCCAATTCTTCTCCTGACACGCAGTGAAATTGTCCGTGACCGTACGCACTATAATATGGAAACAAAGAATGTGTTAGAAACAGTACACGTACGCAACTGGGGCACATTGACTTGAAGAATTATTTGCTTCAAGAATACTTGAACAAACGTGTTCATTCCAACATTCTGGTATTTCTTGTGAGCAACCACAGGGGAATAGCTATCACAAGTTGCTGTTGAGCTACAGATATTATGGCAAAAGAAAACTAATGCTGAGTTTCTGGTGTGGACACCATTCACACTTGGTTAAATCTCATCTGTTAATGGTAGGTGCTAGGTTCTCCTTAAGTGCCAACAATCAAAGTCACAATGAAAAATTTGCCAAAAGTAGACGGTCACATGCCAGTCTGTCAACTACATGCAGCTTTCTCAACATCCTCATGCTGCATGCAAACCACAGAGACATATTTACATCATTTTTGTTTTTACACACCCATACCAAGAAAGAAAAATAAATCTGCAGTTTGTCGGAGAGTAAGGTTGAGTAACGAGTGTGAGAATACCGTCAAATGTATGGGTCTTAATCAAGTATGAGAGCATGCAGCCCCATGTACATGTGGATGAAACCATTTTGTAAAAAAAAAGCATTTTTCCCCATTGTAGATAAAAAACCACCAAAAATTAAAAACAGTTTCTTGAAACACGAGTACAAACTGATTCCTACAAAGAATCAGAAATTAAATGGATAAAAGGACAGCACAGGGAACCATCATGCCAGCAACTTGCCTGGTGAATGTGACTGATGACCTCAGAATGGGAAGCATTGTGTAGCGACTTGCCATTAACCTCTAAGATCTCATCTCCGATGTCTAAGTCAGATCGGTCTGCTGGGGAACCTGGTGGACAGACAATCCCGACAAAATAAACATACACTGCCACCAACAGTCCCTACATGTACCATACATTAAAGGTCCCACACCCATCACACTGCACCACTGTGTTTTACATGGATATTTTGAGGATCAAGGAGTATTTGGGATTAAGGTACACTGTACTTGTATAAGTAATGGTTATATGATTACAAGTAAGAGGGAGCAGTTGCAATCAGCATACAAGTTACTGGTACGATTAATAACAATCAACCTCTAACCCTATTACTGGCAAATCACGGGAGGGGAGAAAGGACAGGTAACCATTTTTTTCCTCTTTAATTAAACGATTTTTGGTGTGTTTCATGTACAACACTGTACAGGCTTTCCTCCCAAAAATGTGAAAAGCTCCTAAATGTAGCCTCATCCTTCAGAAAGACCATGAAAGGTTATATAAAAACGTCTAAATTTTAAGGCCCCTCAAAAACAATTACACATGGCACCCTTCGCTTGGCTTCGGGCACTATGCATCAATTGGGTTTTCAAAACGTCATATCCCACATCACAGCAGTCAACAATAAGCCTTTTGTGAGTCTAATTTGAATAAAATCTACCATAGCGACTAACATCTGTGGAATGGACTGGTTCCTTTGTACCCTTATCCACTGAAAAAGGTGCATTGTTACAAGGCGTCTGTTATGTATAGTAACTAAGTAAAAGCTTGCCCCAAATCACTACATGTACCCCCCGTAGCTCTGTGCCCTGGCTTACTATTAATGCAACTATCACTAGGAAATCACAGTAAAAGACATATATTGCACAAAGTACCCTTTCTAAATTCAGTGGCTGTAGTGTCACATTTAGTCCTACAAAGTTGCTACGGTAGCGGTATATATGTACATTATCTTGTCCTTTCAAAAACCCTGAGGCTTCTGAAGACCCAAGTCTCCAAAAACAATGTGCCGACTGTACATGTATAAGGTTATTTCTTTGTGAAGTTACGCACACAGTCAGCAAATGGTTAAAGTCAAATGGCACACCGGGTTCAACGACCACGGAAAAGTGAAAATCATGCAACTGTTTATTAAACCATTCTCAAAAGCAAAATTTCAACCAACATGAACACTGATGACCATTAACCTTTACCGCACGATCAGGAATTTTTATTTTAATTCCCAATTTTGCCACATGCAATAAGACATTTCCAAAACGGACCCAGAATATTTCAAGCTGTATTTTGCGTCAGGAAGATGTTGATTTTATAGTAAATTTACCTACATCGATGTAAGGGCAAAAACCCGTAATCAAAGTGAAGACCCAAAATACCCGCACCCAGACCCACTCAAGGCTCATTAGCAATCACTTACAATTCCAAGTTATACCATATCTAACTGCATGCACTCAAAGACCTGATAACTGGGCAATGGGAATACTCTGTGAAACTCACAGTGATTACACAGTACACACAAAGCAGATAAAAAACAGTATGCTGTTTGGGGAGCGCCAAGAGAGGGCGCTGTAACACCTCAACAGTACTGCCAATGCCCAGCTCATGCACAACCACTTTGCAGGTGCAGAATGTCATCCCAGTACATGTACTGTCCATACACAATTACACATTATATTTACAATTGCTGAGTCAAATGGGAGCTAGCTCAGTATAAGAACAAGTCAAGGTTTCTAAGCTTTCAAGAGGGCTATTTTTTTATTTATTTATTTTGTTTTTGGTTGGTTGGTTGGTTGGGCGGGGGGTGGGAGAACTGGAGAGGTTCATGTTTCAGCCTATCTTCAGCATTTTTTTTTCCATCATACAAAGGTTACAGATGCCAAGACGCATGTATTCATGTACATGTAATGTCGGCAAGCTTAAGTAAGAGCCATCCCATACAGTACGTTGGAAGCAGTTGGAAGCAGTTGAAAGCATCGCTTTATTTTCTCAACCCTTTTTCCACCCAGAATAAATCTTTCTGAGGATTCATTTTAGTGAAAGCAAGGACCAGAGAAGGAAATGGATCATGGGATTATGGACTTCACTTGAAATGCTCTTTTATGAAAGTAAAGGGTAAAATTGCAAAAGAGATTTCATATTTTTTCATCAGATTCCTGAATTCTTTGCATATGTCACCAGAAACCAAATCATTCCTAAAACCTCATTCGTGATTTTTAAATTTTGGTTAAATCATTTACAGCAGAAGTACCATCAAAATGTAAAATGATGAAATCCATATTTGCAAATGACATCACGAAACCTGCAGCGTCTGTCCAACTATTGACGGGTACTTTTTTTCATGCATCCAGGCAGAGCAACAGCGAAGACACCAGCTTCGGGCTTAATCAACATGATGCTGGGGGGAGAAAAATGTATCAAATCCTTACTCGCGGTCCCAACATCCTTGCTTTCATTTCATGGTGTTGTTCTCTTAGGGTTTTGGTGCTGATATTAGATAAATATATACAGTAGAACAATTACATTCTTACCTATGAAGTATTCTTTGTCATGGGAAAACAAAAAAATCTGTAGGGGTAAGTTTTTTGGGTAGTGCCCATTCTGTTGAAGTACTGAACAGAAAGGCATTGGATTGCTGTACATTACAGGGGCTTCACGCTCTCCCATGCTTGTACACAAGCAATTCACATTCTCTCAACCGTCATTATAAAACAATGCACATGCAAATGCATTACAGGTACAGTGTATATACATGTGTACTGTCTCTCAAGAACTCTACATGTAGCTTGTAACAGGTACATGTCTTGCATAACACGACTGCATTCGGATTCACTTATACGAGCTTACATGATAGACAGTGTAAATTGCTGTCAAGTTGAATGCTTCCAACTTCAACCATCATGTGGACCAGAGCCACAAAGGCACAGGGGGCAGAGGCTGTCTATATCATATGACTTCATTTCACCATGTGGAACATGCTAGCATACATGTACTTTCCATTTTGTATCAATCAAAGAGGAAACATTACAAACACGCCCCCGAAGCCAAGCGACCATGTGCTCTGGTTGCCTGATAGCATTTTAATTGGTCCCAATTTAATCAGTGTTTTAGTAATGGCCTGTTATGACTGGCAACGGCCTCCTGCTAAAACCAGTTTGGAGAACTGCGGTGAACCAATATCGTGGAATTCTGATATCATTCTGAACAGGAAATGATGATTATAGGAGCATTCCCTAATGGATGTAGAAAGGCTGATCGGACTAATGGACCAGCCCCACGACAAATGCAACCTTAGAAATGCAGTGGCATGTTACCGGGTCTACATTGTACATGTTCAAAGTCATTACATGTACGGTACGTGTACACTTGTACATGTACATGTACCTGTAATGTCATGTGTGAGAGGCAAAAGAAAATGGACCGGGAGGGCATAAATTAATCATCTTGCATTAAAAAAAAGCACGACAAGGGTGTGGGAGTTTATCAGGATGATGTTTGTCACTCTCCAAGGTTTTAAACATATAAAGAGCACTGCTGGAAAAGGTCTGGGTAAAATATAAAACTGTGACCACAGAACACAGTATTTTTTTGTCTTGTTTGCAAGAGGGGACTGTCTGATCAGGTAATTGTCTTAAACACAATTTAATTAAACTGCAATACAGGTACATGTACATGAAGCTCAATATGCTCATCTGTAAACAGTAAAGTTCTGGCCATGGCCGAATTAAATGGCTACAGCTAGCCACAACACACGAGTCTATGTTAAATGGACCACGGACCATTTACCCAGGGATGTGCAACCACGAGCCGCCCCAGTGCAAACACACGTGCGATCCTGGTTCCATGCGTGTTACGGATTGTTATTATTACCCTTGCAGGGGCTCTCGACTTTTCTCGAGAAAACTCGCGACCACATGGCACACGTTGCAGCATGCAGCATGTACCGGTACAGTGCAGCCGTGGTTATGCCGAGATGACGCGGTGCTTAAATCTATTCGTATTGACGAATAAATCTTCTTCATTTATCGATTTCAAGGAGAAAGAAAGTTTTAATGAGGCAAAATTCCCCAATTTTGGATAGGAAGAAATATCTTGAGCAGCATATTTTTATAAAGGGTGTACTCTGACTTAAAAATATTACAAGAAAACAAAGTGGTAGATAGGAATACATGTTTTATTATTAGAGAAAGCGTTACATGATCCAATTTAATTTCTGCTTTGATATTGTGCCGACCGTAACACGCACTGAACCAGCTCTGAGCTTAAGTTACACATATCCCTGGGTAAATGGTCCATGAATGGACGTACATGTAGGAGTGACAGCTCCCATAAGTTCATCAGTCACCAAGAAATTCAGATGCAACCTTTGCTTCAAAACCTGGGCTGCCACGTAAGGCTGATGCTTCAAAATGGAAGAGTTGGTACGAAAAACAAGGCAAAGGCTGATTAGCAGAATAGCTCCTCCGACAAGTCTGTCCAGATGTCACTAAGTGCTAAAGTGCCTGTAAGTCGCAGTTGATTTCATCTGAGAAACAGTGTAGGAGGGGAAGGATTCGTAGTTTTCACAGCCTGTACACTGGTGGTCTTCATGCAGTAGACCCCTAAAAATGTCGAAGTTCATCAGGTATGAGAAAAATCAACATCATTATTTCATCAAGCACTGAGGCACAAGTCTCTCTCTCCTTATAGATACAATGTACCGGTACATGCACCAGTACATGTAAAAAAATTAGCTTGCCTGCTTCACCTAATATTCTAGAGATATTTCCACCTGATGTTTTATTGACATGCCCAATCCCCTGGATAAAATCTCACATGATTCACTGTGTTCATCTAATATTCCGGTGTTATTTCTACCTAATCTGTTTTATTCACGGAATTCTCAATGTCCACCTAACGTTCTTGATGTACACAAACGGATGTACGCTGTATACGGCAAATGTAAGGCTGTATTCTATTTGAACAGCAAATGTATCAAAATGGGAATTAATATTGGCACAAAGCACAGTAAAGGGGCCAAGAAGTTAACATCAAGTGCCTTGAGCTCTCCGCTGTGTTCCTCGCACGTCTCAGTGTGGAG